GCCCAGGAATCATTTTTCTTTATTTTCACACTGCAACAAGCACAGCCTGATTTACCTCACTCTGATTTATACATGTTTGTTTTAGCACTGGACTAAAGCTTTCTTAAGGAATCAGAGCTATCAGGCTCTTATTATGTTTCTATCAAATATTTGTTATCTGCAATCAGATATACTGAGAAAAATATCCAAAGTCTGTACAGAGTTCAGAGCATGAACATGAAGAAAATTAATACTTTGTAAACTAGAACTCAGAGGTGCATTCTTATATTTATCTGTGATTATTTTGATTATGACTAAAGCTGTTATCAAGGATATTGGGCCTTTTAAACACGATTGGTTTTAAAAATAATGTATTGATTTACAAGAAATTATTCTTGTAAGGCACCACAACATTGTACTGTTTCCTATCTAGTAGACTATAGTACTACCTACATATGAATCTATTTAATATAAATGAAAAAATGATATGATATTGTCCTATGATTATAATTGTCACCTATGAGCTATATCAAAATATTAAGGAATGTTTAAATGTAAAAAAAAATTATTACAGTGAAGGACACATTTCCGTTAATCCTCCTTAAATACAGTACAATAATATAAATCTAATACATATATATTCCTTCTGTGATTCCTCTCCTGTGAGCACACACTGCGTCATTTTCACCACTTATGAAACAGTTGTGGAAGTCTTATTCCATGTCTTTTCCAGGTGTGATATAAAATACAGATACAGTCAATATTGCTGCCACATCTATCTAATGGAAACACAGGTTTGTAAAAACACGATAGTGGGTCTTCATCCACTTTATTCACCAGATTGAACAGCATATGACTTCTAGTTCTTACTCAAAGACAAAAGTGCCCATGCAAGGAAGCACTGTGAATGAATCAGGACACTGAGGAAGTCAACAGAGCACAATTAAAGACACTCATTGTATTAGGCACAGTACCTACACATAATACCCCCCAACCCAAAATTGAATGAAGGAAAGGTGTATTTTGGCTCACTGCTTACAAAGGTTTTAGTCCATAGTCCTTTGATTTTAAAACAGGGTGGTGTGGCAGAGGTGCATGGCAGAGGAAGAACAGCATGTGACAAGGCAGTGGAGAGACAGACAGAGAGAGGAGGGGATCAAAGGAAGTGCAGGCACAAGACAGATGCTGCCCGGCCATGACTCCTGTGACCTATCTCTTTTATCTGGCTCCCACCTCATAAGGGTAAGCTAGCGGTAGGTCCCCCTAATTCAGTGCCTTCCCTAAACCCCACCCATGAGTGCATAAGGACATTTTAGATACATACAAACCGTAACACTTGCAAAAGAGGCCTCTTAGCACTGCTTCAGAAAGTAGCAAAAATGATGGCATGAGCGTGGAATGAATGAGGGAGAGTATGTTAAGGCAGGTCAATGGCAGTGTCTTTTACTGTAATAAATTAAGAAAACTAAACATCCATCATATTTTTTACCACACTTTCTAAATTAAATTAGAAAGTCTTCTACAAAATTAAAATCCTGTCATTTAAAAGTATATGTAATGAATGTGTAATGTAACTCAAATATACACATAATATGTATACAAATATCATACATATATATTCCTCCTGTGATGCCCATTTTCATAGCTATCTGGCCTGAATTTCTGGTTTGAAGCACATATTTTGGCATATTAACTAAAGAAATTTAGAGATTGCTCTAAAAATAAACAGGGTAAATGAAGGGTGATGAAATTTTGGGGCTGAAAGACTCTCTAGTCAGAATAATCAAGTTACTTAGCTTTTCCTCTTAGTGATAAAGGACTACAGTACTAAGTTCTGATGAGAATGTAAGGCACTCAAGCCAGGAACACAGTCTTTTCTAAGGATCCCTGAGAGTTAACAGCAGCGTGAGACACCTTCCAGGTCCACCCTTTTAGTTTTGGTTTGCTTAAGGATGCCTGTCTTCCTGCCGAGGAGCAGAATTGCAGGTAGTGGGCAGGCTCAACTTGAGTTAGATGTGTCTGTACAGCACAACAAATTAATCATTATTTTCATCTGCTAAATTATTAGGTAGACTTTTGTCAGTGAGTCAAATTGAAGAGTCTAGGTCAATTGAAATCTCCTGAGTGACTGAGTAATTTTGCATCTCCTTCAATCATTTCTGAGACACTTCTCTGTTTAATTAATAAAACATTTTTAGAGAAAACTCCTCTGAGCATTCAGTAATACATAACTACCTAATTCATTGTTTAAAATATCATTGGTAACCCTGGCATTTTTACTTTGTTTTACACACTTTCAAAGAGTAAAGTAGACAGTTTTAAAATATTTTTGGATTATTTTAAAAGTAAGTTAGACTTATAGGAAGCATTATACATATATTATGAGACTTGTTGAACAATTATAGTCATACCATAAAAACAATATAGGAAAATATTTTATAGGTGAATTTGTGGATTTTAAGAACCTCTTCAAGTCAATTTCTTTGAAGAATAATAGGAAGAACTAACTAAATTTGTTTACCCACCCTTGAAAAAGGAATTATTTGGTATTTAAGAATGAGAAATAAAGGTGAAAAAACTCAAACGTAACATTAAAATAACCAGCTCTCAGTCTCTGGTAAAGTTTAATTGCATGATGCTGGTGACCTACACTGAGAAAATGCACACTTACTCTCTCACTTGTATGGAAAAAGTTTCAGTTTTAAAAAAGAATGTGTAGTCATCTCTGTTTTGTAAAGCAAATAGTGCTGCTATGAATGGAGATATAAATAAAATCATCAAGTGCCAAAAACCTTTGATATTGTTGATTGATATCTTCCTTCATTAAATCAAACTTCTGTTTTTTGGCACTTCCTCCATCCCCAGGCATTTTATGTGTTTTAATTTGGAGACAAGGTCTTGCTAAATTTTCAAATTAGCCTTGAACTTGTGATCACCTGCTTGTGTTTCTGCAGTAAATGGAATTATAAGCCTATGCAACTGTGTCCAGTTTAAAATGTATTATTTTAACACTGATTTGCATTAAGTTTTGTAACAACATATTTGTGATTTTACTGTCTTTAAGACGGTTGAAGAATAGCAAGAACTCTGCAGATGGACACCGGTACCTTTTTCGTGGCCGGATCAATACAGAAGTGATGGAAGTGGAGAATGTGGATGACGGCACAGGTGAGTGAATTTGAAGCAGGATGATGACAGAAAACTTCCTCATTAGGCGGAAATCTGTTTTATTTTTTGGTTCTGGGAGTCAAACTTGGGCTCTTGCACTTGCCAGGCAGGTGCTACGCTACTGAGCTATACCCCTGCCTCCAGAATTCTATTTTCATAATTTATCTGCAGTGCTTTAGATCTTAGAAATATTTTTGTTAGGTGGAGCAAGAAATCAGATAGGAGGAGAAAAGTTAGATGAAAGAGTGCAAGATGCTGTGGAAATGGAAAATGATGTTTGATGCACACTACTATAAAACATGAAAGTACTGAACAATGGCCGAGTTGTGTCTGAGAATGTTCATTTCTGATGTACACATTGTGTGTATAGAAAATATCCAATCAATGCATAAATTCTCTTTAATTTATACTCATGCATAACTTATATGTATGATATACACATAAGTTATATGTGTGATATATACATATATATGACATATATAGTTCTATGGTGTATTTACTGTAGAATATAACAAACTAGACTTTTTAGCTATAAAGTTTTAACTAATATAACTAGATCATCAAGTTGTTTATAGAAAGGTTGGAGCAGTAGAGATGATTTGCTTCATTTTTAGTGCTCATTTTAAGTACTGTCCTTTATTATGCAAAGGGAGTCAACTTATGTCTTGTAATTATGAAGGATGAACTTTTACGGAATTATGAAATCATGATTAACCACACACATTAAGTAAAATGAAGTTGGAATAACCTTGATTTCCTATTTGAAAAAAGCTGTGTATAAATTGGGTGCTCCGTCAATTGAATCCCAATTCCATTTCTCTAGTGATAGTAATTATAGTTTCAGACATGTCCTAGGGAAATGATAACATGAAATAAAGCACATTGTTTCTAAATGGCTTTTATTTTCATGCAGAGACGTGCGTTTGTAGCATTCTTCATGCACATGAGATCACTGTCCAGCTCAGCTCCCTGCCTCCCATGTACCTTCATGGCATTCTGGAGTCCCAAAAGGGGGAGGAATGCTTATTATCTGGCAGGGGCACAGATTTTCAAATCCTTGTATATGTGCCATAGCCCTGTTCCGTTGTTAGCATCATAACAAATAGTGAAGTATTTATAGAATCGTGAACCATGATTGCTGGGGAAACGGAATACGCTGAGCAAAACTCAAATGACCAGTGCCTGAGATCGACCCTGCACTCAGCATAGAGCCTCTGTGTGATTGTGTGAAGAGGTTTCCCACTAGCTAATGATGAGACAGAGTTCTGGAGTTGTCAGAGCGGATGCAGGTAGCTAGCGCATTTCAAATCCCTATGTGGCAAACTCTAATACAGTGGCAGATACTCTCACACTAGCCTGTAGACTAGGTAGCAAGATATTCTAGAACAGGGCATGCATACCATTATTTTGAAGTGGCGAAATTCATTTTATGCTTTCTAAGAATACTATGTAATGATATTTAAGAATACTATGTACAAAAATGCTAGAGTTATTTTGCCTCAGTAATCTGAATATTCAAAAGGATGACCCAAAGTTCACTTTGCACTTGAGTTGGGAGAAAGTCAGAGAGTAATGGAAGAACACTCAAACCTCCACCCTGTTCTTCACTGACCCTGCCTTTCCATAAGGGAACTGCTCTCCCTTTTTGCTTTGGTACTTTCCTTATTTTCTTCCATTTTTTCTTTTGTTAGCTTAGAGTGCTGGACATTCCTTCCTGAGGGATTGGTCATGTCCCTCTTTCTTTCCATTTCCTGCTTCATTCTCCAGAAAATGAGATTCCCACCATTGGTACCCTCTGTACTGTTGATTGAAGTGCATTTGGATGATTATTATTGTGATTTTGTATCTCTGGGAAATTGGCCATTAGGTAAAGAACTATAAGAACCTAAAAACTTTGAAGGCATTTGTAGATGGTGAGAGAATGAGATCCAAAGAGGCTTTATTTTTTTTTTTTTTCATAAATGGGCATTGGCTATAGTTCCATGAGAAAGTTCTCTTGGTACTGGCACTATTCCAGCCATCAAGGCTTTGGTTCTTGGAGGGAGAAGGATGTTGAAGAGGCTTGACTCTTGTGTATATGAATAAGGGGGAAGAGAGGAGATTGTAAATTGTGCATTTGTCATAAATTAGCTTTCTGATGAGGCCTCTTTAAGGAAATTTTAAAGGCTCAACTTTCATTGAAATAAGATGAACAATAATTAGACCTTATATATGTAGTTGGAGGGTTCACTCTCTTACTTGAACATATACAGGGCACATAAGAATTGGCTGCAAATAGTTGCTACAATGTCACTCCTAGATTTTTCAGGTTGCAATTGGATGCCCTCATTAGCCTTCCTACAAGGAAATTCATTTTCTTGTGGGCTTCTGGAGGAAAGTATGTATTTTTCTGCCGGGCTTGGAAATTCAACAATAGAATTTCTGAAGATCAATAGGATCTTTTTTTCCCATAATTTTATTGATAAACAAATAGCAATGAGACAGTTTCAAATCAAATTGGTAGGATAGTTTCAATAATTAACACATTGCATACATTCTTCCTAGTGGTTAATTGCTGTACAAGATGTGGACATGATATCCTATTTACAAACACCATTAGAACAAAACACTCTATTCATTAAGAGAATGTAACT